GGCCATCGTCCGGCAGCGCGAGAGGGAGTCGCACGCGGCAGCCCTGGCCAAGTGCTCCTCGGGGGCCAGCCTGGACTCCCACATCCAGAGGATGATGCACAGGGACTCCACCATCAGCAACGAGGTGAGAGCGTGGGGGCTCGCCGGGGGCTCCAGGGAGGGGCAGGGGCAAGGGTCTTGCTGGCCCTGCTCACCAGACTGCTGCCTGTCCCCCACCTCGCTGGTCTGTGCCAGCTGGAGCTGGAGCTTTCTGAGCTGTGTGGTGCTGGAGAGGGTCCAGAGAAGGGCAGCAGGGATGGGGAGGGGTCTGGGGAACCTGGCTTGTGAAGAGCAGCTGAGGGACCTGGGGGTGTTAAATCTGGAGAAGAGGAGGGTGAGGGGAGAACTTCTGGGCCACTCGCTCCAAGAAGGACCTTGAGGGGCTGGAGCGTGGCCAGAGAAGGGCAACGGAGCTGCTGGGGAAGGGTCTAGAGGCCAAGTGTGGGGAGGAGCAGCTGAGGGAGCTGGGGGTGCTGAGCCTGGAGCAAAGGAGGCTCAGGGGAGACCTTCTGGCTCTGCACAGCTCCTGACAGGAGCCTGGAGCCAGGGGGGGTTGGTCTCTTCTCTCAAGTAATCAGCAATAGGACAAGAGGCAATGGGCTGAAGTTGTGCCAGCAGAGGTTTCAGTTGGATATTAGGCAGAATTTGTTTCCTGACAGAGTGGTAAGGGATTGGCCCAGGCTGCCCAGGGAGGTGAATGGAGTCCCTGTCCCTGGAGGGGTTCAAAAAATGTGGAAACATGGCATTTCAGAATGTAGTTTAGTGGTGGGTGATGGTTGGACATGATGATCTTAGAGGTTTTTCCCTCCTCCATGATTCTGTGACCTTCCATCTGCTCTCACAGCATTTAGCAGGAGCAGTGGGCATCTCCTGCAGAGTGACCCTCTTCCCCACTGCTGTGGCACTGCCCAAGAGGTTTTGCTCTGCAGCCTGAGTGACGTGTTGGAGTTCTAACAGATTTGCTCTGGTTCTTGCTGCCGTGGGAGCAGTGGCACTGAACAGCTCTGTGGCCGTGGCCCTGGGTGAGGGTGCAGGGCACAGGGGGTCTGAAAGCCATGGGCAGTGGGCAGGAGGTCAGCCAGGAGCCCAGGGCTTGTTTGTGGAGCTGTGTCCAAACCCAGACAACTCCCACCAGTCCTTTGAGATATTCCACGTGGGTGTTTCTGGGGAACAGATTTTCATTGCCCAGCCTGCACTCCTGGTACATAGAATCATGGGGCAATTTTTAACCAAAAGAGGGAGATTTAGACCAGATATAGGGAAGAAGATTTTTATGCTGGGTGTGGTGAGCCTCTGGCCCAGGTTGCCCTGAGAGGTGGTCACTGCCCCGTCCCTGGAACCCAGGTGAGGTTGGCTGGGGCTCTGAGCAACCTGCTCTAGTTGGGAATGTCCCTTCTCAGTTCACAGGGGTTGGACTAGGTGGGTTCTAAAGGTCCCTTCCCACCCAAACCCGTCCATAATGCCCTGATTCTCTGCACCCTGTGTGTGCTGAGCCTGGCCTGGGGAGCAGGGAGGACTCATCTGGAGGGATGGCTCAGAGGGAACCGGGGAGGCAGAGCACTCGGCCAGCACAAAGCCCAGCACTGCCCTCTGTGCTTCAGCCAGAAAAGGTGCTCTTCACTTCTGGAGGGGCTGGCTCCACTGCCTCTGCCTTAAAACATCACTCCTTGTCCTTTCAGAAAAGGCAGAAAGCGTTAAGGTGCAGGGAGGGATTGTTTTCCAGGCTGTGACTTCACCCTGTGTGGAAGCGAAGGAGGGAGCGAGCGGCCGTGCTGCCAAATTAGGGCAGATTTGTAGAAATTTGCACTCCAGGGAGACCGTGTGACCTCTCTGGAGGCCAGAAGAGAGCAGTTCCTTTCAGACCCGACCGTGCAGTGTTTGAATAACTGGGCTGGCCTGAGAGTTTGTTTTTTGTCCTCTTCTCCAGCAGCAGATGCCAGCGGCGGGCTGGGGCAGGGTGCTGTGCTGTGAGAGCTGATGTGACGGGAACCATGTCTCAAATAGGAGCATTTATTGGATGCCTTTTCTGCTTGTTCCTTCCCTGCAGATGTGCCCACGCTGGCTGGTGTGGCCTGAGCCTCCCCCTGCTCCAGGCACCAGAGCTTTTCCTTTTTTCCTGTGCCTTTTCACTGGCTTTTCCCCTCCTCTCTTGCAGTCCTCGCAGAGCTGCAGCTCCGGCCGGCAGAACCACGCCCGGCTGCAGAGCGACTCCAGCTCCAGCACACAGGTGAGCAGCAGGGCTTGGGCCCCTCTCGCTCCCCCAGACCCCAGCCACCCCACAGGTGATCAGCAGTGGATAGCCACAGTGATTTCTGGCAGAGAGAAGTGGTCGTTGGAGAGGTACATGACTCACAAACCTGCCTCTGGAGCCGCTGAGCTCAGAACTTGCTGGGTGGTGGTGAATACTCACCAGCCTGCTCTGCCCAGGCTTGAAGGACCAGCCCCCAGGTGGCCTTCACACCTGAGGGCCTTTGGCTGCTCCATATGTTGGTAACCCTGTGTTTAACCAACCTGTTTAAATGACTTTCTGCCTGATATATCGTGCTGAGTGAAGTGTAGCCCTTTGGAGGAGGGACTGTGGGCTCTGAGTCGTGCAGATGTCCAAGCACTGACCTGCCAAATCCAAGCAGGGGGAACCTAAAGGCTGAGGACTGTGCCCAGAAATTCCTCCAGGAGTCTGGTTAAAATAGGGAGTTAAATGCTCAGGCTGAAGTTGTCTTTCACTGTAGTGAAGATGTGGAGCCACAGCCAGGCACTAGTAAGTTAAAATGTCCCCAAGTGCTCTGAGCTTTCTTCCACTGGTTGCTTCTGTGAGCCCTGCACATCTAAAGCAGATCTTCCTCCCCTCTCCACCCTTGGAAACATGGGCATTGTGTCCCCAGGAGCTGTGATGTGGGCACATAATGCCCACGTTCCCAAAGTTTGCTGAGCCCTTGCTCGCTCTCAGGTGGTCTCTGCTCGGGCTTTGCAGGTGTTTGAGTCTGTGGATGAAGTGGAACAGGCTGAAGCAGATGCTCAGCTGGAAGATGGCAAACAAAGCAAGATCCCCAACGGGACGATCCCCAACGGGACGTGTTCTCCTGACTCTGGGCACCCCTCTTCTCAGAACTTCTCCATCACATCGGGCTTCTCGGAGCGCAGCTTCAGCAACGAGGACAGCGCCCTGGAAACCAACAAGTCCTTGGGCAGCTCCCAGGGGAAGGCTGGTGGCTCCGACGTGCCAGGCCTGCAGGACCCAGAGGGTGCCCAGCAGGAGGAGAACCTGCAGGGCCAGGACAGCCTGGAGGGTGAATTTCCCACCGGTGGGAGCGTGGACTTTGCTCCCGTGGGTGAGAGCTCGGCCGGGGTCCTGCGCGGTGGCGACGCTGTGGCCCTGACGGTGGTGGAGAGCTGGGCAGAGAGCCAAGCTGAGAAGCAGAGCCTGGTGGAGAGCGAGGACAACCTCTCCGAGGAGCCCGAGATGGAGAGTCTGTACCCACAGCTGGACTCCCTGGCTGTGGCTGATCTGGCCAGCAGTGAGACATCTGCTGTCTCCTCGGCGGGCGTCACCTACTCTGTAAGCATGGTTCGAGTGAGCTCCTCCCCTCCTGGTGCCCGCCGTGCCCCTGTGCTTGCCCTGAGCTGGGCCTGGCAACTTTCTTTTTGGTTTCTTTTTAATTTGAAAACAAATGGGCTTTGCTTTTGCCTTGGGCAGGCCGAGCTCCTGGACCTGTACACGGTGAACCTGCACCGCATCGAGAAGGACGTGCAGCGCTGCGACCGCAACTACTGGTACTTCACCCCCGGCAACCTGGAGAAGCTCCGCAACATCATGTGCAGGTGGGGGCTCTGGGGAGGGGCTGCTGCCCCCCCTGCCAAAGCAGGCTCCTGGCCACCAGGGGCTGGCTTCCCTGCCTTCATCTTGAGCCTGGAGCCTCCAGCTTTGATCTCTTTACTGGGTTTCGCCTCCTCGACTTCCTCCCCGAATCCCTCTCGTCATCCCAGAACTGAGGGCACAGCTCCAAGGGTGTGATGAAGTTCAGCAAGGGCAGGGTCCTGCCCCTGGGGAGGAATAGCCCCATAGACCAGGAGAGGTGAGGGGTTGAGCTGCTGGAAAGCAGCTCTGCAGAGAAGGATCTGGGAGTGCTGGGGGACGAGTTGCTCACGGGCCAGCCATGTGCCCTCAAAGCCAAGGAGGTCAATGGTGTCCTTGGTGCCTGAAGAAAAGTGGCCAGCAGGTCAAGGGAGGTTCTCCTGCCCCTCTACTCTGCCCTAGTGAGGCCACCTCTGGAGTGCTGGGCTCCCCAGTTCAAAACAAACAAGAAGCTGCTGGAGAGAGTCCAGCAGAGGCTATGAAGATATTGAGGGGCCTGGAGCATCTCTGTGCCCAGGACAGGCTGAGAGCCCTGGGGAGGAAGAGAAGGCTCAGAGGGGATCTGATCAATGCTGATCAGGAAATAAAGGGCCCCCGTGGGGCAAGAGGCTGGGGCCCGACTCTGGTCAGTGGTGCCCAGGGACAGGACAAGGGGCAACGGGCACCAACTGGAACCCAGGAGGTGCCACCTGAGCAGGAGGAGAAACTTCTTTGGTGTGAGGGTGGAGCCTGGAGCAGCTGCCCAGAGAGGCTGTGGAGTCTCCTGCTCTGGAGAGATCCCAAACCCACCTGGCTGTGACCCTGGGCACCCTGCTGTGGGTGAGCTGCTGGAGCAGGGGGTGGGATGAGGTGATCTCCAGAGGTCCCTTCCAGCTCCCACTGTGCTGGGATTGTGTGACCTCAGGGTTACCAGACCAAGGAGTCCAGCTGTCCTGGCTGCTGCTCTGCCCCGTGGCTTCCATGTGCTGGGGTTGTTGGCCAAAGCAGAAGGCTCCCTGGGGCTCCCAGTCTGGATGCAGCAGATCCCACCTGCTCTCTGGGATCCCTCTGGAGACTGTTTTAACGTGGATCAACCTGCAGAGCTGTGGTGCTGGGGAGGAGCTGCCTGAAGCCAGGGGACAGCAGTTCCTGGGTGCCTTTCTGCCTCTCCTCACCTCGTCCCTGTGACTAAGAGGTTGCTGTGTGACATCCACTGACTCAAACCAGCTCCAGCTCAGCAGCTGTGGCTGCTTCAAGGGCACCAGAGGCCCAAATCTTATTACTCATCTTGCAAATATGAGGAGAAGCTGCTGTTTCATTAGAGCTGTCGCTTTGTCTGACAGCTGGAGTTGGTGATCTCTGCTGAGATAGGACCTCCAATACAGCAAATTTTGGAAAAGGAGTGGGCAGGATGGGAAAGATTGTTCCCTTGTGCCAGCAGTGGATCCGAGTCCTTTCTGATCATGTTTTAACTTGCTACCAAATATGGGAAGATATCTCAGCAGGGCTGGTTCCCTCCTGGACACTGGGTGCAGAGAGAGCCAAGGGGATGAGTGGAGGGAGAAGAGGGAACCATGGCACAGCTCCAGCATCATGGCCATGGCAGGGTGTTGATGCAGAGCTGGGCCATGCATGATTTACCTGAAAGTCACCCCAATTTAATCATTTACAGAGCAGCCATAGGGGAATGGAGCAGAATAAACAGGTCTGGTTTGTCCTGCCTGCCACCCCACGTTGGTGGCAGCATGTGGGAGACACCAGCATCCCAGGAATGGAGATGGGGTATGGGCAAAGGGGGTGACAGGTTGTGGCACTCGTGGGTGGCACAGGAGGGGCTCAGGGGCCACCTTTTCCTGCTCTCTCTCTCCCACAGCTACATCTGGCAGCACATTGAGATTGGCTACGTGCAGGGGATGTGTGACCTGCTAGCCCCTCTCTTGGTCATCCTAGATGATGGTGAGTGGGTGGCTCTGCTGTCTCCCATTCCTCTGTGGGAGGGGTCTGCTGGGCTGGTGGTGACCCCCCCAGTGAGTCCACCATTTGTGCTTGGAAATCCCAGTGGAGCAGCTGGTGGCAGGATCCTGTTTGTCCTTGGTGCTGGCTCCTGGGAGCCCAGCCTGGGCACAGCCTGTGCCTTTTTCAGCCTGAGCTTGTCCTCCTGTGCTCCTGGCTGCTGGTGGAGCAGGGAGGGGTCTTCCTGCTGCGGGGGGTGGTGAGTTGGGTGGAGGTGCAGCAGTGTCTGTGCAGCTGGGCAGTGCCCACCCCTCTCCCCTGTGCAGAGGCTCTGGCTTTCAGCTGCTTCACCGAGCTGATGAAGAGGATGAATCAGAACTTCCCCCACGGAGGAGCCATGGACACCCACTTTGCCAACATGAGATCTCTGATCCAGGTGGGGGGTCCCAGCAGCCTCGTGGAGATGTGCTTGGGATGGGGCTCTTGGAGGGGCTGAGGAGCTTCCAGAGGTGGAAGCAGGAGGGGAGAGCAGGGGGCCAGGAGGAGCCTGGAGTGAGGGGTGCCAGGATGGCAGAGGAGGGAGGAGCTGGGTGGGAGGGGTTGTGGAGCAGGAGAAGGGTGGTGGGAATGGAGGCAGGTGGGCAGAGGAGCAGCTGGTGCCTTCGGTGTGCTCTGCTGAGTTTCCTTTTGGGTTTTTATTATTTCCAGATTCTGGACTCTGAGCTCTTTGAACTGATGCACCAGAATGGTGACTACACTCACTTCTACTTCTGCTACCGATGGTTCCTCCTGGACTTCAAGAGAGGTGTGTGCTGGGAGGGCAGGAGCTGAGAGCAGCCCCTGGGGAGGGCAGGCAAGGTCTGACGTGGCTTTGGTGCTTCTCAGTGCCCTCTGCAACCTCAGCTGTCTGAGATTAACTTTCTACCACACGTTCCTGGTAGGTTTGTAGCTGACTTTTCAGTCTAGACACAGAACCTGTTGTTCCAGAGCTGCTGGTGAACCTCCACAGGGTTTGTGTCTGTGCCACCTGCTGCAGGCTGGAATATTTATCTGCAGATGATTTACTTACTGCTTCCAACTGGAGCAGGTTCCTGTGGGAAGAAACCACCCCGGGGTGTCTTCCCAGGGCTGCTGTGAGCTCTGCAGGTCGGGAGGACTGAACCCCTGGCTGGTGTGGTAAGTGCTGGGCCTTCTCCTCTGTTGGCAGAGCTGGTGTATGATGATGTGTTTGCTGTCTGGGAGACCATCTGGGCAGCTGCCCACGTGTCCTCTGCTCACTACGTGCTCTTCATAGCCCTGGCCCTGGTGGAGATGTACCGGGACATAATCCTGGAGAACAACATGGACTTCACAGACATCATCAAGTTCTTCAACGGTACAGCTTGTGGGGCTGGGTTCCTGGTAGCTCTCAGGTGCAGGCAGCACGGGTCTGACTGGGGGCAGGCGTGTCTGGGCTGTGCTGGTAACTGTCTAAAACAGACTGAGCAGTGTAGGATTGTGTGGTGTAGGGAAAGTGATGGTGGAGAGACCC